TAAGTTTGAATTTCAATTTCACATAGGATTTGACGCGTTTCCTGTGAGGTGTAATCAAAAAAATCACACAACTCTGTAATTTTTTTTTTAAAAATACTCTTTTTATCGGAAATTTTCCTGTCATTGAATTATTTCGAACAGGAAGGAGTCGTATAAAAATTAACAAAAAAAAATTGAATTTGAATTTTTAAGAGAAAAGATTCGTAATATATATTTATTTATTTTTTTATTTATTTATCCAAAAAATTTTTGAAATGTTGATATACTGTATATCGAGAGGAGATTTATATTTACAAAAGAAAATAAAAATTTCCAACAAGAATTTTTTTTTTTTTTAAAGAAGAAAAAAAATGAAGAGAAAAAAAGAAAAGAAAAGATAAAGGAACAAAAAAAAAAAAAAAGAAAAGGAAACTAGGAGTAATGAATATATTTACAAAAACCGTTAAAAAATCATAAAGGAAAAAAAAAAATGAAAATTATATCGCAAAATAAACAAAGTAAAAAAAATTTTTTTTTTTTTCTTAAAAAGTATCTCCAGTAAAGTTTATCAATCACGTTACGTCACTACGAATCATGACGATTTTTTTAAAAAAAAAAAAGAAAAGAGGGAGGACCTGAAATGGAATTTTCTTGGAAATTTTAATAAATATCGAATTTATTTTTGGTCTATAATTTTTTTTTTGTTTTAGTGCTGGTACTTTCTAACTAAATAACCACGGGAATTTCTTTGCGTCGTTGCGACAACGCAATTAATATTTGATTCGAAAAATTTTTTCAAGACGAGAAAAGAAAAAAGAAAAAGAAAAGAAAAGTAGTCAATCATTGTGACATTTCGAAAAATAGAATCTTTTTTTTAAAAATAAAATATGTTATCTTCTTTACGGTAAATAGCAAGATAATGATAATACGCAACAAGAAGGTTGGAAATAACGATAGACGAAAAATTTTATGAAACGCGAGTATTTACGAATGATTTTGATTTCATCATCTTTCATTAGAAAGATGATTTTTTAATTGTTACATCGTGATGATTTTTTTTAAATTCGTTAAGAAGGTATTTTTTTTTAGGATATTCTTTTTTTAACGAAAAAAAAAAAAGGATCCTACCGATTATACCTTATTGGAAGCATCCTTTATTTATAACGAATTTACTTTTGATTCATACCGGTTTTCCTTGCAATAATGAAAATTGTAACAATTTTTTTATTTTATAAAATCGTGAGAAGATTACTTTGTCCATTCATATGAGTCACAACACAAAAAAAAAAAATTAATAAATTTTGAATAAGAACAAAAACAAACGTACATACAGTAAATAAGATCTTTCAGCCCACAAGCAGGAAAAAAAAAATTTAAAATTAAATTAAATTTAATTTAATTTAATTTAATTTAAATGTAAAAATGAAATGAAATTAAAATGATAATGATAATGTGACAATAAGATTTCTTTTTTTTAAAATCGTTCACAACAGGGCAAATGGTGTCCCCCATCAATGGTGGTAATGATCTTTTATAATGAACCTTTATGCTATCCTTTGTTTACAGATTTTTTTATAAATATACCGAATTTTTACTTCCTCTTTCAACATATCATCATGATTTAAAGTTAACCCCCATCTTTTTTTTTTTTCCAACAATATTCTGGGCTAAAAAAAATATTCCAATTTTAACCGAAAAAAACAATAAAGCATCAACACGAGCTTTAACAGCATCAAACCTTTTTTTTTATATTGTCGATTTTAAAATACACACACATCACTCATAAATGGAATAAACATTTATACTTAAAAATTCTCTTTTTCATCGTTCATTCAAATTTACGCAAAAGGACTCTTGAAAAAAAAACCCATTGTTCATTATAAAGGTTCATCTTTAAAAAATAGGTATGAACTCAAGTTTTGTCCCCACCCCATTCCAATGCATGTCATCGCGAATAGAAAAGAACAATACATTTGAAACAAAGTATCCTGATTCATTTCGATATCAAGCGTTATTTCTTAATTGAATTGAAGGTGATTTCTAATTTTAACCTCTTTTAATTGGTTGTAGAAAGAAAATTGGGTTGACTCGGTAATAATGGAAATTTACATGATAAAAGAGGTAAGCGCCACTTTACTTTTTTTACTTGACGTGTGTACGCTTATGAATTCATGTATAAAATATATTGTTTTCTAAATGCGTGCTCGTGTTTTTAGATTACGCAAAATTAAAATAAAAATCGCGTGAAATTTATCGTAACATAAATATTATTATTTCTTTAAAGATCCTCGGACTAGAACATGGATCAACTTTTCGTTATCTCCCCGTTTAACTTTATTTAGTCATTATATCCGAAACACCAAATATTTATGCCATCTTTATCGTTATTTGCATGTTAAACCAAAACCTTTTTTCTCTTAACAAAAAAAAAAAAACACTTGAAAATTTAAGGTAAAAAATTTTTTTTTTTTCAAAGTACGAAAATTCAGATTTTGCCATTCAGATTTATTTTGCCATTGACTTGAAAAAAAAATAATTAAAAAAAAAAAAAAAAAAAAAGCAAAAAAAAAACGCGAAAAAAGAATAAATAAAATAATCCAGAGAGAAAATGAAAATGTCGAAAAAAAAAAAATTTGAATTACAAATTTTTTTTTGTTTTTTTTGAATCGAGAAAAGCGAAGTAATGTTTTCTTTAAAAAATGTTTTGTAATAAAAAGAAACGAAATATTAAAAATGGTTCCAATTGGTTCATAAAAGTAATGTACAATAATAAAAATCATAGAAATTTGTGAGAAAGGTGTAATAATCCACAGGAAAGTGAAAGTAATAAATAAAAAAAGAGCATCATTTAATTTTTTTTACAGGAGGATAAAAATTCAAAAATGTTTTTTTTTTTTTTAATAAAGAATAAATAAAACCGAAGCTTTCCTTTAAATTATTAACCTAATTATTACGAAAGGGGAATTGGTTATTGTACATTTTCCTTATCAAAAAAAAGTAGAAAAAAATCTCCACTTTTTTTTTTTGTACATAATTGTTTGGTTGTAAATAGATTGAAGTTAAATAAAATAAAAATGTGGTATTTTTTTTTTGGAAAAAGAAACTCGGTAAATAATAAAGTTCTTTTCCCTTTAATAGAAGAAACCGCGATAGGTAAAAAAAAAATATTTAAAAAATTAGGTAACCTGAAGAAATATTTAAAAAGAAATGCGTTGAAGAAAAAAACAAACAACAAAAACGAGATTTTTTTTTTTTTAAAAAATGAGAAATTGAAGTGCAAAAAAAATATAAAATACAAACTTTTTAATAAAAACAACTATATACAAGAAAAAAAAAATGTCTTTTTTTGAAATGAGTATAATGAGTTGAATGGGGGGTTTTTTGTTTTGTTTTTTTTTTTTTTTTTTTTTTTTTTTTGCGTAAAGAATTAGTTTCTTTTGTTGGCCGGCAATATTATGTCTAAAAAAAGTGTTCGTGAATTTTTTTAAGGTTGAATTAAAAATTGTCTGTTGTAGAAAGAAAGCAAAAGAGGAACTAAAAATGCTTCTTACAAAATCTTTCCATCAAATTTCCCTTCACAATTCACATATAATATAATTTCTGTCTTATGCTTCACGATTTCTAAAATCCTTGTTCCTTCAAATTTTTTCCTTGAGATCATTCCAGATCATTCATTGTTAAGAACCAATTGAATCTACTTTTTTTAAAAAAAAATCATATCCCGTACATAACTTTTCTTTCGACTTTTTAAAAAAAAAAATTTAAAAGGTGGTAAAATTTTTTTTTTTTTTTTCTGCTATTACGTTTTCTTTAAAAAGGAATGTAAAAAAATTTTTTTGTGCTTGAAAATTTTTTTTTTTTTTGAAGAAAGAAAAAAAGGGAATAAGTTTTTTTCAAGTATTTCTTTACTTGTCTTCATTTCGAAAGAAATAGGTGAGAGAACAAATTAAATTTCTTCGAAAGAGAAAAAGTGTATCGTTAGTGTGATGATTTTAGAGCTCTTTTTTTTTGGATTGTCGGTGGAATAAGGAAAAAATAGAACAACAAATTTTTTTTATATATCGTGATTGAAAATCTTCTTTTTCTTTGCAGAGAGCAACAAAGAAAAGAAAAAAAGAATTTTTTTTTTTAATAAAAAAAAAACAACTTTTTAAACGAACTTTCTTTTAAATTAAACTATACTATATATATAAATTAAAAAAAGGGAAAATTAAATAAGTTTTGTATATATCGTTAAATCATAAATATTGCCGACCAGGTCTAAAAATTGAAATATGCGTAAAAAGAAAATTTTTGTCGTGAAGGATTGACTAAAAAAAGCGAAAGAAGAAGAAAACACGAGATCTTTGGAATTTGCTCTTTAAACCCAACGTTCCTTAAACAAAACCAAAAAATCACCAATTCTACTTCCTCCCTTTCTTCTCATCTTTCCTTACGACGAATCGAAAAAAACCGAGAAAACATAAACGTGAACTAATGTGTATATATATTTCTTCGAACTTGTGTAAAAATGTGTATTAAACAAAGAATTAAACGAATTAGCGAATTTTTCTTTTTTTTTTTGATGTCACAACTCTAAAATATATATATGTGTATGTATATATTAATCTACAAGCTATATAAACCCAAATTCTATTTAAAATTTTTGTCGTGACATCATTATAATATTTTTGAATTCCCACTTGAAGGACAACGAAGAGTTATTAGGGTGGGAAGAGAACTCCCTTTGCTCCGAGGTTCGATTGGTGTCAAACCAAATCATCGTTTTTTTTTAAAAGAAAAAAAGGGAGACAAGGGGTGAAGTAGATTTCAAAATTAACATGATAATAAAAAGTAATTTTTATTATCGAATTAATTTGAAAATTTTTAATATTCGAACGAAATGATTAAAAGGGGTAGAGATAAAAAAAAAAAAAAAGAAAGGCCAATTGAGCAATAAAATAAATTCCAAGAGAAAGTTTATATATAAAAGAACGATATATTGTTGCTCAAAATATTGTTTTCACAGGCGTGGCATGTTATTACTTCCATGAACCTTCTTTGAGTAAGATATCGAAGATCTATATTGTTTATGAATGTGATTATGCAAGATAAGATATTAGCATCGTGCTATCATAAGAATATGCTTTGCTTTCACATGAAAGTCACATGAAATTCACGTGACCAACGCACAATATACATACCAATTCTCCCATGAGGTTGTACCCGTCCTCGGTTGGATGTACTCCATCCTGATCCCAAAAAATCTTTCGTTGTTCTGTCGTTAGTGAATGCATTGGGAAGAATTTGTCCAAAAGGAACAGTGTGTACGCGTTTCTTGTGGTACTATTATTATAGACGCTAAAAAAAGTGAAAGGTGAAAAAGGGGTCAACTTATGTTTGGGTGGAGGAACGAGGAAGAAAACGGTGAGCGGCATGTGACTTACTTTAAGTGCTCGTTTACGATACGACGTTGATAATCTAAATGGTTAACCAGGTCCTAAATGCGTAAAACAAGGAAAACCCAAATTAATACAAATTAATATAAATTAATAACGCAAAGCCTCCCGACCGTCTGCAAAATTCTGCAATCACGAAAAATGTTCTAAAATTTACCCAATCAAATTCTGGAATCGTTACTCCCAAAATTCTAGCACCGTGTTTTGAACATAGCGTATATAACTTTTTGAGCCCATCAAAAATATCCCAAGCAGAATATCCGTTAATTACATCATTTGTGCCTGGAAAAACGAGTTTTTTTTTTTATAAAGTTAATATCATGTGGAATAAAAATCATTTGATTTAAATAATCTATATTTTTTCTCCACCATTTCTACACCCAATTTTCTTTTCTTAAAAAAAAAATTTAAATAGTTTACCTCCAAGGATGACAACCCAATCGTACCATTTACCAGGTTGTTCTAATTCACGTTTTAATCTTTCTTCCATAGATTGAACGACACATTCACCAGGTACACCACTTACTGTAACCTGTAATTTTTTTTTTTTTTTAAAAAAAACAAGATTTAGAACATATCCTGATCCAGAATTTAAAAGATGAACACGAAAAATTTCTATAAAAAATTACCTCAACATCTAAACCTTTCTCCTCAAATCTCTTTTGTATTCTCAAACCATATGGATGGTACGTGCCATAACCATCAGGACCTTTTATCCAACCTTGAATAAAACAAAAGATGTCGTGTTAAAATTGATATTCACGATAATTTCATTCAGCGGAAAAGTCAGTGATAAGCCACTGATAGACGGGATGGACATCAATCGGACATCAATGTATCAGTGGCCCAAACACTCTAATTAAGTCTCAGCCATCACGTAATTATTCGTTACGAAATTTTGGCAGCAACTATCTATCTATCTACTTCTCCTCCTACTATGATTAACCCTTTGAATCTTTGCAATTTTTTTTTTTTATTCTTCTAAGGAAAAGGAGACAAATTAGAAAGTAACTTACCGGCTGTTAAACTTTCCCCGAATAACAGGACATTATATCTTCTCCTTGGCGTATGTGGCGTATGATTTTGCGTGGAAGAGATAGAGGGGTGTCTATTTTTCCTTAAAACAGACTTTACGATAACTTGGTTGGCTTGATAGAAAGGTCTTGTTGTTGTAGAATCAGTATTATTATCATAGTCGCTTAATAATGGCTTCTCTGAGACTTCTTGTCGATCGTTGTTCGGTCGACTTACAGGAGTGTATTCGAAGATGGAAGCAACATCATCATCGTCGTCGTCAAGTAAAGCGTTGTTAGAAGTGCAACAGAAAACATTCTTTATCTTACTAAGTAAAGGCATTATGTAAAAATGCTTTTTTGGTAACTTGAGGTGTGTTTTTTTGATTTAAATTGTTTGTCGAAAAAAGCTTAGATTATTAATTAAAAATCTAAAATAAGAGAACAAAAGATATATCTTGTGGTCCGATAGTTTTCCTTCT